AAATAAAAATTACAAGTGATAAAATCGAAAAATTTAAAGAGAACGAAGGTAAACTTGTTTCAATGAATGGATTTTTGACAACAACTACTCTTCGTTCAACTGCATTGAAGCAAGCAATGAAACCTTTGAAACAAACTGATCTGATTCCTGTTCTCCTAGAACTTCAATTCAATCTACAACATCTCGGCAACCGTGTCATTGTTGCTGAAACTTCTCAATACAATGAAATTTCATGTGAAGAACAGGAAGATATTATCTGCAATTCAAATGTCACTTTTCGATTGGAAAGTGTCATAATGAATGAACAAATGTATTTGATTAAAATTAGTGCATCAAATGAAGGTCACCTTATTCAAGAAAAATATATTAAAGACTCACATCGTCAAATGGAAGATATAAGTATTAGAATTCTCTTTGGACGATTGATGTGTGATATGGGTCAATGGGATCAATCACAACATTTCTTCGAAAATTTATTGAATAATTTGAATTACTACAATGAAGACCTTGCAAAGATTGAACGTAGTCTGGATGAAGTTCTTCAATGGAAAGAAGCACAGAAATATTATGATCGTGCTTATAATCGAATAATGAATACAAAATCAATAAGGATTAAGGATTTAGCTTATATACTCTTCGATATTGGCGAGCTACTCCATCTGCAAGGGAGATATGAGGAAGCGCGTGAATATTTTGAATGAACATTTGTCATGAGAAAGGAATATTATTCTTCTACCAAGATTGATAGATCTCATCTACTGAATCACCAACGCAGTAATATACTGAGTCGAGTTCGTGCGTCTTTCCGATCTATTCTATTGAATTCATGTGGGTTATTTCAACCACGTTCTCGAACGCTTGAAACAAGAAAATTACGAAAAACTTTTCATTGTTTTCGTTCGAAAAATGCGAGAAATAGTATGAAGTCTGTTGACAAACAATTGAGCAAAATTCAGTTACAAGAAATATGTCAAAATGTACAAGAAACCAGTTGGTTACAACTGAACGAGATTCACGTTAATGGTTATTTAGTTATTGCTTTAAGTCTCCGTAGCTTCGAAAAAATTCTCTTACAACAAGCCAAGTATGATGAAGCACTTATTTTTCATCAACAAGCACTGAAAATGCTCAAAGAGTATTATCAATTTCCCCATATTGATATCGCCATTAGTCTTATGTGCATTAGCAACGTTTTAATTTGTCAAGAAATGTATGATAAAGCTCTGGATTTCTGTCAACGAGCGATATCAATCTATACAAGATATTATCCAAACGGACATGTATACATCGCATCCATTTTCAACTAGATCGGTTACATTTTCAGTTGCGAAGAAAACTATGAAGAAGCTCTGAAGATTTATGAGCGGGCATTATCAATGCTACAAAAATATTATCCATCCGGTCATGTTGATATAGCACATAGTCTTTGTGGAATAGAACGTACTCACTATGGACAAGGAAAGTATGATAAAGCCCTTGCGTTTCAGGAACAAGCGCTGAAAATTCAACAGAGATATTATTTTCCTGGTCATGACGATATTATTTGTACTCTAAGCCACATTGGTTGTATACGTAACGAACAAGGAGCGTATAATGAAGCTCTTGATTTTCATCGACGGGCACTAACACTTCAAGAGAAATATTATCCATCTTATTCTGCAGGCATCGCTGACATTCTCAATCACATTTGTGATGTACTATTTAGTCAATCAAAATATAATGAAGCTCTTTCTTATTGTTAACGAGCATTAACGATACAAGAAAGCTGTTATCCTTCAGGTAATGCCTCAATGGCCTCTATTCTCCATAATATTGGTAACATCCTAAATATGCAAGGAAAGTACAATAAAGCTATTGATTTCTAGGAACGAGCACTGGAAATACAAAAGAAATGCTATCCAAATTGCCATGTCAACATTGCGGTAACTCATATTCTTATGGGCATAATATTTCATCGACAACAAAAATTCGAGAAAGCGATAGAATATCATGAAAAAGCATTAGCACTTCAAGAGAAATTTTATCCAAATGGTCATGTAAATATTGCCATAACTCGTATGAGCTTTGGCAATAGAACAATTCGATAAAGCAATTGAATATTATCAAAAAGCATTAGAAATTCAGAAGGAATATTATCCATTCGTCAGTATTATTATGATTGATACTATTAATTGTATCGGTCATGTTTTGCATGACGAAGAAAAGTACGATACAGCCATTGACTATTATCGACGTGTACTTTCAATTCAGGAAAACTTTTATCTTAATGATCACATCGAAACTTTTCATACTTTAAAACTCATTGATGATACTTTATATAAACAAAAGAAGTATGATGAAGCTCTTCAAAATCATCAAAAAGCCTTAACTATTCAAGAAAGACATAGCAATACTGCTTATACCGACATTACGAATAGTTTGAACTCTATTGGTAATATCCTATATAGCCAAGAGAAATATGATGAAGCCATTGATTTCTATCAACGATCATTAGTCTTTCGAGAGAACCTCCAGCGATTGGGTTATGTTGGCATCATTACCGTTCTTGGCAATATTGCTAATGCCCTATATAGGCAGAGAAAGTACGATGAAGCTCTTGACATCTATCAACGAATACTGATGATTCATGAGAAATTTGATGCAACTAATCATGTTGGCATTGTTGATACCCTAATAAGCATCTCAAATACTCTAAGAGACCAGGAAAAGTATAATGAAGCTATAGAAACCCAACAACGAGTATTGATGATACAAGAACAACATTATCCTTCTAATTATGTGTATATTGCTTATAGTTTTAGCAACATTGCTCACATTCTTACTTTACAAAGAAAATATGATGAAGCTATCGGCTTCTATCAACGAGCATTAGCAATCTATGAAAAAGCTTGTCCGTCAAATCTTATCGATACTACTAATGGTCTCATCAATATTACAGATGTTCTTACCAAACAAGGAAAGTATGCAGAAGCGATTGAATTCCAACAGAGAGCATTAACGATTCGAGAAGAAAGTTATCCCTGTTGTCATGAGAGAATTGCGGATAGCTTGAATCGCATTGGTCACATTCGAATGTATCACAGAGAATACAATCTGGCACTCAGCTGTTATCAACGAGCTCTAACTATTCTTGAGCACTGCTATCCATCTGGTCATGTTGATATTGCTGAAAGTTTGGAATTTATTGGTATGACCCTAAAAGTGCAAGCAAAATATGATGAAGCTCTTGATTATTATTATCGAGCACTACCACTTTACAAACAGTTTTCATCCAACTATTTGAATAGTGTTGTATGTCTGTGCAATATAACTCAAACTTTAAGACACCAAAGAAAATATGATGAGGCAATTGACTTTCAAAAACAGGCATTGATAATTCTCAAAAGCAACTCGCCTACTGATCAATTTAGAATTGCTCGTAGTCTCAAGAACATCGGTTGTACATTATTCGAGCAAAAAAAATATAATGAATCTCTTGACTTTTATCAACAAGCATTAATTATTTCTGAAAAATATTTTCCTAATGATCATAATGAAATTGCTGAATGTTTATTCTGGATCGCTACTAACTTTAATAGAAAATTTCAGTTCGATCTTGCTATTGATCATTTAAAAAGATGTTTATTAATTAAGGAAACCAGCACATCTCCAAAAGATCTCTCCATTACTACCATATTGAAGTGTTTGTCACAAGTACTAAGCACGAAAGGTCAACCTGAACTCGCTCTTATATATGAACAAAGGTATCTTTAATTCATTACAAAGTGCTACCGCCCGATGATGAAAATATTGGCCATAGTTTTTCACAGATGGGTAAAATTTACGAAAATCTTCATAAATCTACATTGGCACTTGATTACTATCAACAAGCATTAGCTATCTATAGGAAATGTCTACATCCCGAACATGATGATCTATGGGAAATGAAATGAAATATTGAACGTCTTTCGGAAGAACTTGGAATAGAACTCGATTTATCAGATTAAGTTTTCAACTGTACTCTTTTTCAATTAAATATTATTATTATCAAAGTAAACTATCGATAGAAATATCTTGATAAGAATACATAGGATTATTTTAACTAAGTACATTTTTAGCTAGATGAGAAACAATTACTTCAGATGAAAGTATTTGTAATAGATCTTGTAGGGATAGGATGTGGTTGATTTCTTCATTAACACTTACACATACACCTATACCGTCTATTCTTCCGATGTAACATTTGTGTATCAATAATATTTACAAACTTTTATTCTGTGTTCTGTGTTTATGCAAACAGGAATATATCGCATTGGAAACGGTACTGATATGACTTAATTTATATTTAAAAATGAAAATATATTTGATTCATAAAAACATGAATAGTTCATTGACTATTGCAATGATTTGAAGCGGAAATTTAAAATTATTGTAAACATACTCAAAACTCGGTTAACCCATGAAAAATTTTGTGAACAATGTTCATTAAAATAAATTTTATAAGAATAATCTATTTTCACTTAGTACTATTCTCATGCGAATATCATCGATTCTATTATCAAAAATAGCAATATGTTGTGTTCTATTGAAAATTCGTATTTGTTGATATATCTCCGAATTCAAATAGCATCGATAGTACATTGTTAGCATTGTATAACTAATCAATATAAAGAAAGTAATATATCAAATAGAGATTATTTCATTCATATTTTTCTTAGTTTAATATACATATTTCCCTCATTGTCATCAGTGAAACAAAAAGTAATTTTGTGACGATTGATTTGCTTTCAACTGAAATGTGTATGTCGCACGTGAATATATCGTACTCAATAATATATATTTATCTAGCAATGAAAAAAGGCAATGTAGAGAAAGTAAACAATATATTCGGATGAATTTGCATTGTCCATTCAAGTGATAAAAATTATTAAAAATCATGTCTATCAATGACATGAATGAATGTCTTATGCAGTCAGTTTATTAAGCATTGTTACATTCGCAATGCCGATGATATGTCTCGGAATCAATTTTTGTTGACTTACGATGAAAATTATGATCATAGAAGAAATATTTACACCGTGCGTAGCAAAAAACTGAACGTCTTCTTTTTAATATCAAATGATGCGTTGATCAATTAGCAAAGTTTATGCAAACATCACCTAAATGAAACATAATTGATCATACTATCGTGTCTTGTATTAACACAAATTATGAATGTTTCTTTCTTTGATAAACATCCAAGTGATGATACACCACATCCCATCCGTACTCATATTTACTCGAATAAGTGATTTTGATATCAATATCATCTGGAGACAATGAAACATGTCACAATAACGAGGTATAGTTTCTGATATTAACATTAAGTGATTAATTAAATTATTATCATTCAAATGATAAGATAAAGAAATTATATTTAATAAAAAACTACAATTACTTCAAGTCATAAACAAATGGGTGAAATACTTTGCAAATAATTTCATCTTATAATGATATCATTATTTCCTATTCTTCCTTTTCTCTCCTATATAAACATATGCCATATCCCTCTTGATCAAAATAAACGGCACATCTTATGTTTTCTTGAATTTCTTCACTCTAATAGTACTGTTCGGTCTCATATTCATACTACTAGTGCATCCTTTATAACTTTATCTATTCACAAAATTTTAGCTGTTTCAATCGAGAATTAGTTAAGAAAATCTCTAATTTCTCGTATTTATTCTGAATCTGTAACTTTTATGTATCTTAGTAGTTTTTCGAACGTGTGTTCCAGATAAGAATAACTATGTTGATGTCCAAATATCGTTTGACAAACAAAACGACCATATCTAATTCAAATATTGATGTTACTATTTTGGCAAGTAACGGATATTAATAATTCTCCTCGTGGCAATCATTTTATTAGTTGTTTACTATTCGAAGCAATGTGTAGAGGTAATACTGCAGTTAGATATCGTTGTTTGGGTAGTGAAATGATATTTGGGTATCAGTAAAGATGATCTTATCTGAAAACCACGTTCAAGAAAACTACTAAGATACATAAAACTTATGAATTCAGAAGAAAACGAGAAATTAGAGAATTTCTCAACTAATTCTCGATGTGAATAGCTGAAATTTTCGAGTAGATGAAGTAATGCAAGATGCAATAGCAGTATAATTGTAAAACCGAACGGTACTATTATAGAAAAGAAATTCACAAAAAAAATAATGTGCTGTTTATTTTGACCTGGAGGATATACATATATATTCATCCTTGTCTACACATTATTAATTAATGAACTAACATGTATTATTTTTAGAACTGTTCGTGCATATCAGTAAATATTTATGTTTGTTGTACGATGTATTTTCGCTCAATTAAAGATATATTTAAATAATTGTAGCTTTGCAAAACAGATTCTTGTTAACTAAACATTCAGCTATATAAATATATCTTCATAGTTACTGAGTTCTGGTATAGCTATTTCAAACTTTTATCATTATTTAAAAGGTAAAATTTTTACAGCACTGCAGTAGTTATTTAACTGAACTGCTTGTTTTAGATATTGTCGTATATGCATATGATTACAGTTGTTTAAAAAATATAGCATAGATATTTAAAAACAAAGTAAATATGTCTTAAACTATATAAGTGTCTGCTTTGTTTCTAACAGAGTTTTGCATCTTGTTTCATCTTGTTGTGTGACTGAACGTTTGAAAATCATACGTCTTTTTTTCTGATCGATGACTATGATATCTTTGAAATAGTTTTAGTAATTTATATTTTATTCGTTTTCTGTAACTGACAAGATGAGCGAAGTTCATAAACGAAATGTTGCTACACAAGCAATGTGTATTGTAGTTAATTCCATGAAAGATGCTCCCATGACAGATACTCTCGTGATGCTAACTCCTGTGACATTTACTTTCCAGCAATAGTTATTGTGCAACAGCGTATATGATTCATACAAATATATAGGGTGCGACATATGATGTAGGAATCATTGAAGAATGGCGTATCATCTTTTCGATCACAAACAAACCGAAACATGCACGTAACTCGCTTGGCGTGAATACTCTAAAAGAGGGATAAACACAAAAATACTCCCAAAACATTCTATCGTTATAGATGTCGTACAAATGAGAATTCGAATATATGAACAATTGAATATTTGAGCTGTAGTTCAATAATTGAAGTCAGGTTTCAAGTTTGATACTACTCGTGATAACATTTATTACTTGAGTAATGTAAATGTATATTACTGTATGGACTTTCGGGTAATCAGCTGGAGACTTTTTAGATGTATGTGTCTATTTTCTCTGGAATATCTCTGCCTCTAGGCTATCTTTTAATATGATATACTGTCTAGCAACACATTCAATAGCTTGATATTGTTCCTATAAGTATGATAAGCTGTAACTCTGAAAAGAAGACAAGTCTATCCCAGAATTCTTTCATTCAACGGCTTCAGCTTCTTAGATATATTGACTAATCACATACTAGTCATAAGAGTAGGTGTATGACACAACATGTACAGCATGCTATTGGAAGATTGTTCTAAGAATGAATGTCGATAAAAGTGACTACTCAACCATGGTTCTTATTGTCACGTCTTGGTATCAGGCCCGATTACAAAGGAAACAAGAGATAGAGAATCTAGTTTATTCGTAAACAAATATAACTGACCTAACATGAATGATTTTCCTTTATATATATATACAAGATTAGACTGGGAATATTCCAACATGAGTTGGGAAAAACATATAAAGAAAAGGAGAAATGAAACTAGGAATTTTCCAATATATCTGTCCAGTGACTATAGGGAAAATTCCACGAGTCACTATATCACACTTATCATTAGCTTAGTTATGATACCAAAATAATTAGCAATTAGGTTTTGAAAAGAACACATATACACATAAAGATTACTGAATAGACAAGAATATTTATTAATGAATTTTATTAAAGATAAATTATATGTCACACGTCTTATCTGTAATGGCATTCATTTCCATTTCGTCATTTTCCCGAATTAGTACCAATACATTGGCTAGTATTGCTGCGCCTCCTTCTGTAATTCCTGTTGATTGATCCGATCTCTCTCGAACAGTAAAATTTAATTGAAAGTGAGTCGATGTATTAGCATAAAGCATTGGAATCCATACAACTGATGTTTTGGCGAAACATGCACAAACGAAAACTGTCATTGGTGGTATAGCATAATCTTTACCTCGAAATGCCGAAAGAAAAAATGTTATTGCATAAGGAGTCCATGTGAAAATAAATCCAATAGTTGTAATTACAACAACTATGTGAAAAAATAAAAATATTATGAAAAATGAGTTAAAAAGAAAACTACTAATATTTTCACGAAATAATGCAATTTAATAACAATAAATACATACTTTTAAGAATGCGTCGTTCCATTTCAACTCGTTTTCGAGTAAATGCTGTTTGAAAACCATTTGTTATTCTAACGTTCATTCGTTTAAGTCCAAGCCAAGTCATTGTATTTGCAGTAATGAGAATTAGAAGCGGAATGCAATAGACAACAATGAAAAGAAAACCAATAAATGTAATATAAGAAGTACGTCGATCGTACCAATTTATACAACAAGAAGTACGAGTTCCCTAAAAACATATAGACATCTATTGTATTTTATAATGAATATAATTTAAATTCATTAAAACAAAAAAACACTAATGAATGGTTACCTCCATTGTATATTCATTCCATCCCATAACCGGAAGCATAGTCCAAATAAAAGAAATAAGTACTAGAAGACTGGAAATAGTAACACAATTTTTCACCTAGAATTATTTTACTATTATTATTTTCTTTTTCTTGTCAACAACTATTATTTACGTACAGTGACATTTTTAGCTTGAAATGGTCGAACAATAATATAAAGTCGACTAAGACTTGCTGCACAGAGTAAATAAGCACTTGAACATCCATAAAAATATGCAATAATAGCACTTAATTGACAACCAAGACGTTGATATAACCATTGACAATAAATTGAAGATGTGCCTGTCAGTGGAAAAATTGTGCATGAAGCAAAAAGACCTATACCCGTAATAAACATAACGAATATGTTTGGTGGTGAACGAAGAGTTTTGTATCGTACAAAACTGTAAAATAAAGCTCCATTAAAAACAGTACCAATCACTGCAGCAATACATAAAAATATGCCAACAATACGAATCGGATTACAATCAACTGGTGTTGGACGACTCCAAAATAAAGGATCATCACGAGACATATGTTCATCAATAATTGAAGAATAATTAAACGACATTGTTAATATTCTCTTTGAATCAAATACAATGATTATATGTGTAAATCTACTTTTCTTTTATATTCAAACAGATGAACACAGAAGAAGACTTAAATATATTTTTTATATCTAAAAGAAAAAACGTTTCTATTCAATAATTCTTTCTTCCAAGAGCAATCTATTACTTTGGTTTTAAAATTCTTTAAATTATTCATACATGTAACAAGTCTTTTTTTAGAAATGAAATGGTTTCAAATCAAACTTCAAGCAATTGACAAAGAAATGCAACGTAATATCATCATGGAGTAGGAAATAAGGCTCAACTTTTTTTATCTTAGTAAAACTTTGATAGTATCATCTATTACATAAACAAAAAGCTTTTCGATAGTCTCATGAGAGATCAAAATTTGAAACTCACAAACTGCGATAGTTATATTTTCATTTAGTATATTTTCTTCGAAAATCTGCTTCTGAAAACAGACTCTATCTAATTTCATTTTTTCTATTTGTTTTTTCTTTTGTTTTAAATATTCTCTATTGTTGAAAAATCTCAATATTAGTTTCTTTTATTCATACATATTAAATTGTTCAATTCTCAAATGTTATTTACAATAAACGGACACATCGTAGTGAAACAATGAATATTCTCTTGTTTGATGATTTTACGTGTGTTCTTTTAAAATAACCAACCAATTTAAGTTTTCAGTGAATATTTCTTTATCAATATCTGTTTGTCCAAAATGTCCGTGCACTAACAAATATTGAATTCATTCAAATGCTTTTCATTGGATACGCAGTTTGTGTGATTTTTGGCAATGAATAATTGCTAGTGAAGATGATTCTATTAAATAAATGCAATATTTGTTAGCGTGCAATATCATAGAATACAACTTGGATGGATTTTCCGGATGATCAAATATCTTCCTGACTAACCACCTGCTTAAACTCGTAGAAAAAAACCTTCGTGTTTCCTTCCTTTAATCTATATTGCATGTCTTTGGTTTCTAGTGAATGCTCATTACAAAATGTCTTAAGTACTTGATTTTGAGTATAATTAAGTCTAGTTAGGATTTGTTTCAATTGAGAAATAAACTTCTTTCTACGCAAAGTCAGTTTCATTTTCGATTTCTTGATGATTTGACAATATCTATTTTTAATCTACTAATTTTTTACTTGCTTAAAGTTTATTTAAATCTCTAAGCCCAACAATAGATTGTCAATTGGATAGTAAAGAGTTACTCATTTGAGATAATAGTCATTAGTATTGAAAGACGCTCATGCATCATTGAAGAAATTTCTAATCAGTCTTAAATATACTAAAATAAAGTGCTTAAATTATTCTTGTAAGAAATGTTTACCTAATACCAAACGAATGCAATATAAAAACAAAGTCTTTTATAATAATCTAGTACAGGAGAAAAATGTACAACATGGCATAAATACCTGTATTTTTTGATTAAACAATAATTTTATTAGATAATTTCTATTAATATTATGTTTTCATAGTGTAGATTATTTTTTTAAATATTATGTACTTGGTCTTTGTTAAAGGACATACTTATATAATGAACTAAAATAAGTTCAATATACAATTTCAAGTTCACTTGAATTTCTCGACTATCTTTACAATGATAAATAGGGAGCTCAAATATCTATTCTTCAACACTAATGTTAGATTGTGTTTCATAAAAGAACAAAGAAAAAAGATTTCTTTTTCTACTTGGGATATAAATATTTAACTTTGTCTAATATGAGTATTACGCCTACATCATTGTTTTCGGATACTTTTTCTTCTCGTCCTTATCTTCTTTTATTACAAACATTTGAAGAATAGAAAATTCAGTCAAATGTAAAAATGGATTTGTATATGAAGAAATACTTCTAGATATATTCTGGAAGAGAAGAAAAGTAATTTGGAAGATAAAAATAATATAGAGGAGGTAGTTTATATATATCTATAATATTAAAACAAATAAGACTAAAAGACAAAAAATGATAATGTGCTACTTTTTTGTGTATTTCTTTTTAGAGGAATACCGAAGCGAATAAATAACATACTAAAGAATTTTGTATCCAAAAACCTTAGTCAAATTTTAAATTTACTTTGCAGTTTTTTTTTAATATTTAGTTGCTCTTTCGCTACCAGTGGTTATCTCGCTTGGGATTATTCGATTGCATGTCATATTATTATGTTAGAATTTTCAATTTAGAAAATAAAAATCATTAAAAACTGTTCAGAAGCGCGATTTTTCGAGAGTTCAACATTAGTTTTCGTAATACTTCCTTAATTATCCGATTTTAACCGTTGACAATTTTGAATTTTGAATATAAACAATGACAATAACATTTGTATGGAAAAACCATCGCAATATGTACTTTTCAAGAGGTAACATAATTATCAATTATTGTTCTAAGTATAACACTAAAATAATCTTAAAAATGCATCTTATTTAGACTTTTGTGTCAGACAGAATACGCATGAACACACTCACAAAACTAACTGTTTTCAAGCATTTCCGTGTCTACATATATATTCAATAAAGCAGAAATTAACCTTCTTGGTATCACCACACTATTCAACGATTTTACTAAGAATTTTGGCAGATAAACTGTGAAAAGATGTTTACAATAAAAATTTCATCGATAAACATATTCAAATACAGCTTTAACCGTTTAGGAAGTGGGTGTGTGTGTGGGATGTGGGTATGAGTGTGTGGGTGTGGGTGTGGGTGTGGGCGGGTGTTAATTCTCTCTTGACCGATATCCACACCCACACCCACACCCACACCCACCCACCCCTACCCACATCCACCCACACCCATCTCGAGAATCCTACGAAAAAGTATTCAATGAACATTTAAATACCATAGAATATCCTTGTACACATTTATCCGTACCTTATGGAGCATTTCTAAATGTATCATTCGTATTACACCAAGTGTGTTCGAGCGATCTAGTTTCACCATTGTGGCTAAATTATTTATCTTTGTTCGATCCAACTCTTATACCTCCTTGGACTGAAACACAGTATTCACGAGATTTTCGTCCTAGAGGTGTGTTGTATTTTCAACTTTTGGCTACTTTTTGCTCTTTAGCTAAAATCAATATTGAGCATAGTCAACGTGTTTTCATCAATACACCGTTTTGTTAGCAGTCATCTTCTTCCTCAATCTCTGTTCATTCAACAAACTCAAGCGATGGTTGAAGCATTTATCAATAGAACACGTAACACCTTTGTACCTATTTTGAATTGGATTGATATTGCTGGTACGATGAATCAATTTTTATCAGGATCAAACGTTAATTTCCAAATTATAGTAGACAATGACAGCAACGTGAATATTGAGGATGTATTGCTTTATCCATTGGTAGATGTAACTCCTGAATCCGTAATAATAACTTCAACATGCTCATGCACAACTAATTCTAATGTTTGCCTTTTGAGACCTATCGTATATACGAATGGATCGAGCTCCTTCGAATTTCTGGATATTTTTAATGAAATAAATGTGGGTTACACGCCATTGGTTGGATTCTTTAGCTCTAATATTGACTGGTGGTATAATAAGGTTTATATTGACGAGATACGAGCAACATATGCTACTATGACTATCACCGAGTTTCCACCAGATATAAAGCCATTAAATACATCGATTCCTACTCAATTTGATAGTAGTACATTATATGTAATCAATCAAGCATTTTTGGAAACATCAGTTATCAGTGATAATCGCTATGACTTTTACTACCAACAATGTGCACCTACCAGCTGTTCATATACAATATCGAAACGACGCAGTATCATTGTTGCCACTTTATTACTTGTTTCAGTTTGTGGTGGACTCAATCGAGGTCTTCGATTAGTTGTACCATTGATTGGAAACCTTGTTCTGGTTATTATCGAAAAATGGAGAAATTGGAAAATCGTTCGTGGTGAGTGTATTGTGCAACTGTTAATCTGATAGCAAAATCGTTTGCAAAATGTCAGCGAAGATACTTTCGATTAGGACTACAATGCAGCATACTGTCACAATGCAGTCTAAATATTGTATCGTTCTTAAGATAAAAAAAATAAAAGGGCTGTATGAGAAAATCATGATGCATATAAGGTTTTGTTGTGTCAGTTTTGAAAGTAAAATGTGCTATCAGTCTATACGAAACTAAAAAGGTAAGAGGTGAACTTATTGATTTCTATTAAAATTCTTGGGAAGCCACTTTCCAAATTAGCATCTAAGTAGCCGTCTAATAGGTATTTTTGCTTCTCATTTTCAATCACTCAAACGATAGTGTCGAGGAGAATTTAATGATCTAAATAAAAATGGTTTATCCGATAGACGTCGCACTTTTGACTTGTCAAAACCTAATGTATGATTTAGTTTTGTTCTATGAAAATCATGTTTTTACTTCAGAATAAGATAATACTTTGAAGGTTGTTTGCTAATATATTCTTTGCTAGTAAGTTTTAGATATCAAATGAAACAGAATAAATAGAATACAGATTAGTATGAAGAGTTAGCAACGAGAAGAACGAAGGAAGTGAATATAGAAAAAATAAAAGTACTGTGATCATATCAATCATCTGTTTTTGAAAACCGCTTGGCGAAATATACAATATATAGGAGAAAGCTTAAAGCAAAAGTATGAAAACGTAAATGTTTAAAATAAAAATAGCCTATAGCTTTTCCAACTGCTATAGCCTTGAGTTTATTTTGAAAAATATGTCTTTCATTTTTTTTAATAGAACCTACCCAAGATGTTCAGGAGCACAATTTAATGACAAAAGTAGTTCGATCGATTAGAACATTGAATTTTTTTTAATCGAATTTGGTTGATGCTGTTAATATTCGTCAACAACAATTGGCTATTCGAATATATCTCGTCTTGCTCATCAGTTCACTCAGTGTCATTTTATTTTTTTCCTCAATTATTGATCACATCGTAATCAAAACATATCTGTACCCATTAATTGTAGATTATGAGTATTTATTCGAACAGTATTCAAATGACATGAATTGTTCATGTACACAAATATCGATTCCTTATAGTACATTCGTTAATCAACTTGAAGTTAGCTTTTTTCATCAAGTATGCAAAAATAATATGATTTCGATTAACCTCGGAATTCGTCCAAATATTCTAATAGGATCAACTTTGACAGATCCAATAGACTTTAACTCATGGAAGCAGTACTTTACTAATGGTCTAACAGAACTCTGTCAGAATGCATAACACAGCGTAGCTGATACGATTGAAAACTTTCTTGTGTCAAACATGATTGTATATCAAGTAATACCACGAACACAATTTAAAAATGAAATTGATGCAACTTTCGATCGATTCAAAGCATCCATTCCGGTCGCATTTACTCGAATATTAGATCTAATTCGTACAAATATACAAAGTAATGCATTATTAAGCTTATTTTTCTCTAATTAGAAAGTTGTAATGATTGACAATAACGGGGGTAAGAACGCTTCATTCTTTAGTGTACCTATTAATTATGAAGAAATGGATCAGAACACGACTTGTTCTTGCTCTACAACAATATCTTTCGCAGTACCAGCACAACTTCTTTACAATACTAAATCATACTATTCATTCAAGGGTTTGGTACGCAGCTGTTTTATACTTGAAACAATTTTGCGCTCTTCATTATCCTGTTTCTATTTTGTATAATGCATTGATGGAATTCGAGATGTAATGAATCTTTATCCAGATATGACGTTGGAAGCATCAGCTGCTTTATTTGGTATTCCTATAAGATTTGATCCTGTATTGACACGCTTTGCTGTTGATGATACAATTGAGGCATTAGTTTATAATATGTTTATTGAAACGTGGATTAACGACACATCTTATGAGAACTACTTTGACGCTTGTGCACCAAAAGAATGTACCTATACATATCATTATCGATCTGATGCTCTAGAAACTTTAACAACTTTTTAAAGTATATTTCCTGCTTTGTCTGGTGGATTGCGATTTTTCGTTCCACATCTTGTTGCAATTATTGCAAAAATAAAAAACCGATTACGTGTCACACCAGTAGAATGACTTACTATAGTATTCAAGACTAAAGCTTTTAATGTTGTAATTTTGAACGTTGTTGCTCATATTTATTTTTCTATTGTAATAAAAAACTCTTGTCCGTGGAATAATCCGAAATGGAGCTGATCGTAGTTAGGGTGTGGGAATGGGTGTGGGTGTGGGTGTGCGTCTGCTTCTGTTTTTACATAAGACCACACGCAAACCCACCCACACCACCCACTTCCACACCGACACCCACCCACACCCACACCCACACTCACACCCTTGACTCACTAAAAAACAAGAATTTAAAGTTACGCTTAAAGTTAAATTCATTTGCACCCCATTTATAGTATTTCATCAAGGTTGGTGGGAACTTATCGAGTTAATCAGATTTTGTTCAATCCATTTTTTCACATTTGATTTGTGCACTTTATCACGAAAGCCGTCGTTTTTATATACATTATTAGATTTGACAAATGTCTTGTCAAATTCATTAAAACCTTTTAAAATAACAGTTTGAAATGTAACACGACTTTTGATCACCTCCGGAGCAATCGTTAATTCTTGAATTAATTCTTGTCGAGGACGTTCAACCATTTGATCTAATACTTGGCATCGATTAAATTCTTGGTTTGTTTCATCCGTGTCTGAATCCTCGTCGCTATCTTTCTTTTTGTAGCATGACCGTGTTTTAACGTTTACCCACTCATCCCTCAGTCGAATATCGACTTGATTGATTAAAACTAATACTTTGACGTTTGTATGATCCAAAAGTTTGTTTAATAATGCTACTGTATGTCTTTGATTAACATCTTTCAATGTTGTAACTAAGATAAACAGATTGGTTGCATTGAAAGACATGACCAATAAATTTCCGGCTTGTTCAGTTGCATCGTCATATCCAGGGCTGTCAACAAGATCAATCGGCAGTACTGAATCATCAGAAGTAGTACCATCACTTGTGTTATCGTTTAGTTTAATAAAAGCTTGAGCCTGGAATGACATTCGAGTGTTGAAATTACCGACATCGGAAATTTCTCGCAACTCTCATCCTGTGAGATATTCAAATAGTGTCGATTTGCCTGTTTGAGATTGACCTGTTATCACAATCTTCGGTGGTTTTCCAGCCAATATTTCTCTCATAGAACACAATTGACAGCAAATTTCAATAACATCGATGATATGGCATCGATTTTCAGGAGGAATGCGTTTTAATGGTTGCCTTTTAACGACGTCATCCCAAACGATGTTCAGTTGCCGAGACGATTTCACTTGTATTAGTCTTCGCGACCATTGACATTCGGCAATTTGATTTAATATGCCCCATTCATTTGTATTTGTAGCAATTGGTTCACCGGTTGATTCTAATAGTGCAAGAGCGACTTTTATTAATGACTGTATTATTTTTCTGTAATCGGGAGTAATGCAGTGTATTGTAGTCTTCACGGCACAGAGACTCATCATAATTCCTACCATCCAATCTTTTACATGTAGAATGTCTGCAATACGTAATAATACGAGGAGGTCTAGCAAATCTTTGTTTAGTTTTTCGATGACCGGAATAAGTTCGATAGATTCTAATCGTCGTAGCTTAATCATAATATAGAAAGCGGCCGCCATTAACGCTTTAAGGTTTTCTCTAACACTATCAATTTTAGGATCTCTATGTAAGCTATTCAAATATTGGTACAGTTGACCAAATTTTAAATGCAAAGGGACTAATTTATAATGTTCAGCAGAATTCTTGTCATTGGTCGATGATTTTCCATATTCGCCATCAATTTCACACTTTAAAGCATTATACATGAACAAAGCATGTTTTTCCTTTTCAGAATTTTTATTCTCGTCAGCCATTTTCTTTAACGAAGTCAATATTGGACCAAAATAAGTTCCCAGTTTATCGCTTCCCTTCGGTAAAGGCAAATTTTGTAGTTTGCTGTCGGTTTCAGAAGATAAGTTGCGAGATTGCATTTCAGCAAGATATCGAGCTAGTATAGTATCAAATTTGTTTGGATCAATTCGCTCAAGTGTGGTGAAAAATGAAGAAAAGCAATGAGTTAATGACGAATCAATGTGCTCGAAAGAATTCGCAGCCAATATGAATTCGATAAAGGCTCGTAATAAAGTTGATATAGGATCAAGTTGATAAACTGACGGCACTGCTGCATCAAACTTTGATATAACTACCACTTGCACATTGAATTGACCGAAATAAGTTTTAACGTTAACTTTGAAGCAACGTTTCATTTTAAGGTAATTCATGGACACCTCCGAATTGTAGCATAAAATTGCGCACTCATCTGGCTTATCTTGAGATAAGACCGGTTTTTTAATTTTTGTCTGCCCGGATTCCACCAATTCACTCGGCAATTCGACAGAAATGACAAAATCGACCAAAAATCCTTGAAAATGAATACGAAGTAAACTGCTTACGCCATTATCATTCATAATAGCACTCAAATGGGAAACGCAATCGGAAGTCCAATTACACTTCTTTAGATTGTTCTGAGCGTCTTTTATTCGAAGTAACTGCTGTTTTGTCGAGTATTCTGTACCCAAACGTGGCGTAGCTTCCTCATTAAACAGTTGATTAATACTGAATGGATAACATCCGTGTTCCATAAATTCACGAAAAATAAACTTGAATTGATCAGGGATCAATCTTTCTTCAATAAAATAATCGTACCAACGATGTCCTGCACTCAAGTCTTTTAATAAGCGTTCTTTTTCTTTTTCTTGTTCACCAAGAGAATCAATTTTAAATTCACTTTTTTCACCTTTACGAATAAAATGATGACGACCAAATATAGAATAGGCAGGAACTAGCGCGTCACTAGTGAACTCACAAATTTGATCAGTAGCATTTCTGAGAACATCTGTCTGGTCTTGATTCCTGTAACCAATCACATTAGTACACATTTTTACTCCAGCTTTCAGCAGATAACCAGCAAATGAATCAGTTACTTTTTTTATAAATTCAGTTCCAAAAGTAGCCAAACGGAAAATGGCATCATGTTCGTATATATATGTATCGAAGACGTCATACCATTTCGTATAACTGCTCCAAAAATGATAATCGGCACATTGAGGCGTTCCAAAGGTGACGCAACGTAACGAGACCATCTCAGGTAGTAATCCAGCTTCAACTAGGTTATTGATGACATGTGCAGTAAACAACTGACTGACAGCACCGCCAAGAGAATGTCCAGTAATAATTACTTTCCATCTTCGACGTAGCCGATTCGTGACAGCTAGCAATGGACCTGATTCAGCCCGTTTCGAAAACCCCGAATGTCGACTACCAATATAGACATGGTGATTCGAATGGATGCTCATATCTGTAAAAACATCTTGAAGAGACTTTGATGAAACAGTTGCACGAAATACAACAATAATAATTTTTTGTTCATCTTGACGGCAAATCAATAGCGGATGTTGTTCATTCGGAGAAACATCTGGATCTGAAAACATTAATTTAAACTTACCAGGAAACAATGTTCGACATTGACTGATTTTCTCTTCAATATATTCAAATTTTGCATTTGGATCGGTACCATCGGTTTCGTACATGTCGTGTAACCACCAGCATAGATGAATCAATAATCTTGTCCAAACTTTACCTTCTACTGTTGAATGAAAACTCTTCGAATGATTAAATGGTATATGAGGAAACGTTGTGTTTACGTCTTTTGACTCGGCCATTCAATTAAAATACTAAAAATAAATGAAATATAACTGAAATATCTATTCCTTGCAAAGGCTAAGTCAATGTTCAATATAACTCAATCTTTTCCTGACTCGACCGAATGGGTGGCGAATATTTCGCACTAGGTCATTTCGAACTCCTGTCATGTGTCCGGGTGTTCGGACATGATTTTTGTCCTGGATAATTTTCATTACGAACATCCTGTTTTTTTTATTTCTGAGTGATTTTTGTCATTTCGAACTCCCGGAAACCTAATTCGGAACACCCTATCTTTTTTTCCTTGTGTTCGAAGACCATAACGAACTCCGTTACCGGGAGATCGTAATGAAAAGTTGATGCGAAATGTCCCTTTTCCGACCGAATCCACAGTCGAAAATAGTTTGTAATCAATCAAAATGGTTCCTTCCAAAACTAAGCGTATTTTTGGTAGCCTTATATAAGCTCTCTCAATATTCAAAGTAATATAACTGTTGTCTTATCCGAAATTGCTATCTACCCAATGTAAAATTCGAAATCGCAACCCATCTTGAGTCAGTGATTAAACTGAATTGAGACACAGTTTCAAAATTTTCTTGTTTATTCCCCATTAAAAACCTGATATTTACCATAAATTTAGAGCCTTGCAACCCAACTCATCAACTGGCAGAGATGGAGCCCGTCAGATTCTAGAATTTCTAGATCCGGACCTGGTCTCCATCAATCCAAAATTTTCGAACCTGAACCTACCCAGGGCAACAAATCAGACGCTAAGATCAGACTCAGATTCTTGTACGTTCGTATCCGATCTTATATCATTATCTTGTATGATCATACAAGATCATACGGAAAATCGTACGAAAAATCGTAGTCTCTGATTTCTTGTATCAAGAATTACAGTAAGTTTCCAGTATGGCGCATACGTACGATCTTGTACGATCAGACGAAATCATTTCGCAAGTCTTCAGTTGATTTATTCAAAATTATGCATCCTAGATTGCCTTTGCGTCTTGATATATCAATGATGAATTTAATTAGCCTCATATAAGGAAGAAAATTTTATTCTTCAAGCTAAATAGCGCATGCAAAAACAAGATGTCACTGTTGAAAACAAAAAACAATAAAAAATTAGAAGGATTTAAACGCCATAAATAATAAAAACAATCTAGAATAGCAAACAACAAACAAACGGCTACCAGCACTATAGCAATATCAGAGAACCAAATTGTTCTCCATTTAAAAGGCTCCTAATGACTCGAATAATAGTAATAACTTAAGGACCTTTTAAAGACGATATCACGAAAGAACTCAAGCATTTAAAAAAATCAACGGTTTTTTAGTACTACAAGTAGAAATGCAAAAAACCTTCTAACCTGTGATGACATCTTGTAGAAAGTGAGAGTTACAACAAAAATTCTAATCTAATCAGCAACGGCATGAAACAGCAGTATCAGTAAATGTAATGAGAAAAAAAAAAGGTAAACTAGAGTGAACAAGAGAAAAAAATTGAAAGAACGTAGCAACAAAACAGAACAGAATATAAACCATAAAAGCCAGAGTCAAATATAAATCACATAAAACACTGGCCAAGCAAAACCATGATCTAAAACAAAGCAAAACTATAAACGTACAATCCCTTTTCTAACATGATAAACTTACTGACAAATTAATCAGACACATCGTCTGCCCGCCAAGAATCTCGCGAGTTTCATTGATGACCAGCAGATGGTGAATCACCCAATCTTGCGTCGACACCAAATCCTGCTCTAGGCACACCATGCATTCCACCATCATCAGCTCCAACACCATCAGCTATTCTGTGACAACGACGAATATCACAAATCATTTGACTCAGCGTTCTTCGCAGACAAATTCGAAAAAAATCACCAAAACGATCAGGATCAATTTTGAAACGAGCACCGACAGCCTCTAAAAAGTAAAAAAATCGAACATAGATCATATCATTAAACATATCGAGCACTGACTAACTCACTGGACTCCTCACTAGAACTAGAAGCAGACATCAGACTCAGAACTCGAAAATCTCTTATCCAATTTTAATCGATTCCCCAAAACACTACGTTAAACTACCTAAAAACAGAAGACGGTAACAGTCAACCCAGAAAAGTACCCCAATAATTGCATCCTAAATTCTCACCGGATTGACAGAGCACTAGCTGTGTCATGGGATATATTTGGATAACAAATACAAGTATTTTCCCTAAAGAAAGATAAGAACCATACAAGAAAACTACAAAACTATATCAAGAACACACTCCACAACAACATCACTCTCAAACGAAATGACACAAATGCAAAGCGTAATACACTATATGTTTACACACATACTTCAAACAAAATTCATTGTCGAAAACAAAAAAAGAATAATACAGAATACCTATATCTCAAACATATAGTTGGAGGAGATACAATTTTCAAAACAAAAAAAAATAATACCATACCCCTATATGAAAACATATAGGATACCAAAACGGAAAAAACAAAACACCCACTATATGTCGAAACATATAGTTAAAAACCGGAAAGAGTTTTCGGAAACAAAGAAATAAAATAAACAAATTTACTATATATTGACACATATAGTTGAAAGGGAAATTGTTCTCGAAAACGAACAAACAAAGAAAATAGTACTACATCACTATATGAAAACCTATAGTGAATAAAAAGAAAGAAAAAAAGTTCAACTATATATCGAAACATATAATTGAAAACCAGAAATAATTTTCGAAAAAAAGAAAGAAATAAAATAACATTATGGCACTATATGGAAACATAGTAAACAAAAAGAGATAGAATAAAAAAAATTACTATATATTGACACATATAGTTGAAAGAGAAATTATTCTTGAAAATGAGAAAACAAATCAAATAGTACCACATCATTATATGAAAACCTACAGCGAATAAAAAGAAAGAAAAAAAGTTCAACTATATATCGAAACATATAGTTGACAACCAGAAATAATTTTTGGAAAAAAGACAGAAAGAAATAACACTATGTCACTATACAGAAACATATAGTAAACAAAAAGAAATAAAATAAAAAATTAACTATACATTGATATATATAGTTCCAAAAGAAATCTTTTTTTAAAATGAGAAAAGACACTAGATAATATTATGCCACTATATGAAAACATATAGTAGACACAAAACGAATAAAATAAAAAATATAACTATATATCGAAACATATAGTTCAAAAAGAGAAAGAAATAAAATAACATTATGCCACTATATGGAAACATATAGTAAACAAAAAGAAATAAAATAAAAAAATTAACTATACATTGATATATATAGTTCAAAAAGAAATCATTTTTTAAAATGAGAAACGACACTAGATAATATTATACCACTATATGAAAACATATAGTAGACACAAAACAAATAAAATAAAAAATATAACTATATATCGAAACATATAGTTCAAAAAGAGAAAAGAATAAAATAACATTATGCCACTATATGGAAACATATGGTAAACAAAAAGAAATAAAATAACAAAAGTTTACTATATATTGGTACATATAGTTGAAAGAGAAATTATTCTCGTAAACGAGAAAACAAATAAAATAGTACTACACCACTATATGAAAACTTATAGTGAATAAAAAGAAAGAAAAAAAGTTGAACTATATATCGAAACATATAGTTGAAAACCGGAAATAATTTGCGGATAAAAAGGAAAGAAATAAAATAACGCTATGCCACTATATGGAAACATATAATAAACAAAAAGAAATAAGATAAAAAAAGATAACTATACATTGATATATACGGTTGAAAGAGAAATTGTTCTCGAAAACGAGAAAACAAATAAAATAGTACTGCATCACCATATGAAAACATATAATGAGGAAAAAGAAATACAATAAAAAGAAAATAACTATATATTGAAATATATAGTTGAAAAAGAAACGATTTTCGAAAAAAAGAAAACAAATAAAATACACGTCTAATGGTATGTGTAGTAAAAGATAGTGATAAAAAACGATTGGGGAAAGGACAAGCAACAGAATAAGAGAAGATAAGTATATGTCTAAATAATAGTTGAAAGAAACATGTTTCTCGAAGAAGAGCAAACCAAGTAAATAAAATTGTAGTGTTGTATGGAACCGTATAGCAATATATAACGATTGCGAGAAGGACACAATGAGTAAGGAGAGAACTACACCACTATATGTCGAAACATATGGTTGAAAGAGCAATGAGTTCGGAAAGTGGAATTTGAAAAAAACTTAAAAGATACTTGAATAAATGTGAAAGTATATAGTAGAAAATTAAAAGAAGTTGATAATGTTTCAAAAACAAGTGAGAAATCCTTTTAAATATTTTGATGGAGAGGTGATTAAGAGAAGAACTGGTATGATTATACATGGTTTAATGATGAGGATTCTATTAGAAGGGAAAGGCGTTATGTTTGGAATACTTTGTTCGTTTTATAATGAGTGTTCTCACGTGGAGTAGGTTAGAGGTAAAGACGCTATCTCGTCGTTAAAAGGTGATAGTGTTTTATGTTTTTATTAGAAGGGAGCATGTACTAGTCTATGATGTTAATGAGAAATTGAACGATTTACCTGCCCATTTAGCCATTCTGATAGGATCCAATCCTGGTCGTGTATATAGTGGATTTGAAATCAAAATGGAATTGGCGAGCTCGTTTGTTGTAAAAAGCAATCGCAGTATACTTCGAGCATATTTTTTGTAATCTGTTGTCTGGCAGGCAGTTAATAAATTGATGCCATTATGATCCTGTTGGAAGCATCCGTGACTCAATCCAGTTAATGTGAAAAGTTCAGAATAACTTACTACTACTTTTGGAAAAACGTGGGAAGTATTTTGATATTGTACTAGAGTAGGATTCAGCTAGTGAAATGAAAAATATTTGGAAACTTAGCTTGTTTGAACTAGTAAAGTTACCGTGTAGTCTTGTACAGTCTTTGATAAGTGCTTGAGCTGTTTATCAATTTTGTTCAAATGTGTTTGAACATCTCCTGACAAGCTACTTGTTGTTTTGATCAAATCTATATGATAAATTGAAAATAATTTTATTACAGAGCAGTCTGTTAACATTAATGCATGATTTAAAATAATCGATGACCCAGAGAAGTCTGTTCTGAGTAGAAGTCACTGGAAGGGAGAAGATACTTACTTGATTTCAGTTCATCAAATTTTTCATCAAAGTAAACTTGACTGAAGAGATCTCCATTATTTGTATCAAGCACTAAAAGGACAAAAAAAATAAGAAATTATGATATAAAAGTTATTTCTAATGTTTTGTCAATGACTATGATCTATTATATTACGTAATTTTGTATAAATGAATGTCTCTCACTGAGTAATAGGTTTTCTTTCATTACCTTCAGTATTTGGATCAGGATCATCATCAACGACGTCGTCGAAGCTACTTTTGTTTTTAGTTGCATAACGATGTACATTTGTTCGATTTTGATGCTGCATCAAGTTTTCATCAAATGGATCATCTTCATCCGAATCATATTGAATATTTTGATCTAGATAAAAATCTAAAAAAAGTTAAAAGTGTTGGTAAATGTTGGAATCTTACTAGATTCGATTTCTTCTTCTTCATCGTATTGAGGTAAACGTTTGATATTTGTTTGTTGTTGTTGCAAAACATTTTTACTCTGTTTACGCTTACGTAACGTATCATCATTAACACGAGAACGACGAGCTCGATAAGCAGTAAATCCAGCTAAAGAAAAAGATACACCTTTTACTTTCGTGACCCTGTTGAACAAGCTATTAAGGTGTTTGCAAGTTTCTGTTCAAAACTGTGAAACAGTAAGCTGTTTTCATCACAGTTTATACTAAATTATTCTGTGTTCAATACCGAGAGCAGCATCTTAATTGATACTTACGTGTATCAACTTGTGTTTTGTAACTTTCATGTGGTAACGATGTTGATATTGATGGTAAATTAAGACGATTAGATGGAGGTTGATCTGAAACAAAGCAATAGAAGAAGAGAATAAATTGTTTTTAAAAAGTAAATAGAAAAATACTTGATGCTGAATCAGTTTGTTTTGATTTTTTTTTGGTGGTTACATCCAAATTTTCTAAAACAAAGAACTAAATTTAAGCTTAAGATCTTTTTACCGTATCAATTGTTACCATTTGTTGTTTTTCGTTTCGATTTTTCTGTACCTTCAACGATCGAATTGGATCGTGCTTGACTTTGTTTTTGACTGAAAATTTTTTGATTCATTTTTACGTGTGTAGAATTCTCAACCTGAGTTATTAAAAAAATCTGAAGCAAGAAATAAAGCAATATTGAGTGATTAGGATATATTTATGCTGCAACATATCACTATCTGACCTTTTTAATGGAAACTTTGAACGTATCTTTTGTTAGCTATTTATTCAAGGACAAAGTACACCGATTTAGATGATACTTCTAATGATATAAAATTGTGGAGACGGTGTTTCTACGAATAATGAAAAGTCGTCTTTTAAAACTCAAGAATATTTGACATATTTTAGGACCAATTGAAGGTTGTATAGCTGAAGTTACAAATGTATAATATAATTTGCTTATGGCATGGTTAGACATAGATAATCGAGTTTTAAGCTTTGACTGATACATGTGTATACTATCATGTGAAACCTTAAAAAATTTCATTTTATTTTTATGGCGATTCGATAGCACTCGTAGAGTTTCATAGGAAAGATTCATATTTCGAAATCAGTAAAGAAAAATTTATGGAATAATTCAAGATTCCATCAGCTTGAAATATAAAACAAAACATAGTGAAACTTCAATTTCATTATAGTTTCCAATGGAATTCAAAATATGAATCTTTCTTATGCAAGTCGATGAGTTTTATCGAGCCACTATGAAAAATAGAAGGAAAAAATCTTTTAAAACTTAGCATTGTAGACAGTATGTAGATACACTAGAAATAAATTAAAACTCGAATATCTAAGTCTATCCACGCCATAAATACGTCATATTTTTCGCTTTTCACTTGCATGATGATACCTTCAATTTTAACCAGATATATCCAATGTTCTTGAGTTGATTTAGGTGATCTTCTATCTTAAGAGAAAAATCATGACAGAAAAACGATTATAAAACGAACTAAATCATATATCTCTTCATAGAATGATACATAACGAACAACAATATAAAATGCTTAAGAAACGAGTTATAAATAGATACACAAGTGATAATAACACACAATGTCTAAAAGCTAAAAATAATAATTTATTAATCATGTTCAGTCATTGAAGAAACAGGAGTAGCAAGAACTGTTGAATGTCCTGGATCATGTTCAAAAATAACCAAATGTCCTTGAATCTTTTCAAGCAAAGCAATACGACTATTATTTGTTTTCTCCAGTACGAAATAAAATTTATCTATGTAGAGTGTTCAAATATCATAGCATCACTAAGATGTGATAAGCGACTGACCGAAACATGATATGCGGTCATTTTTTTCGGGATTTTAATAAAGCAAATAATGACATTAGGGTATCTCGACGTCGCGAAAAATTCGGGAAAAGCTCAATTATGTAAGAAGCCGGTTGAAAAAATTTTTCTGTAACTGATAGAATTTTGAAAGACCATAACTTTTCTCACAGAATAAATGAGCAAAAAAATGAAAAAACTGCTGAACTTTTGCTGTGGAAAAAAGAAAAATTTTCACGATTGCAGCGAGATGAGTCACACATACTCTGCTCTAGATAAACCTGGATTATATGAAAGAAGGAAGCAGGAAAAGTAAAGAAAAAAGTGGTGATGTAATAATGAAGTGGGATATTAGGCTGTTTTAGTAATTCGTAGTATCGACTTGCCCTTAAATGATCACTAAATGCATTGACGACTTGAAAATGTTGAATTAATGCATAAGTGCACTCGTGATGTTGAAAAAAAACTTTTATTATACCATAATTAAAATGACTAAGACCACAAAGATATTGTACGAAATAACTATTTGTATTTTTACGTTTAGTATACTGAAGCGAATGAAACATTTTATTAAATATAATTGATCGACGATATGTTTTAATACATTGATAAAAATCATTACAATCGCAATTATTGTTATGATAATTTAATAATTCATAATATAATGGATCTTTTCGTTCCAATACAAATAAATCCAATAAACCTAAATAGAAAGAAAATATTGAGCATCTTTAATACAAAAATTTTATGCATTGCAATGTCTTTAGAATTTAAATATCAATGCTTATAAATAGTTAAAAGATTTTTTCTTATTCAAAAGGAAAAAAATCGTACCATTGTTCACATAAGTATCACCTGCACTAAAATTGTTCAATAGAACGTCTATATTATAATAGTAAGCTAAGATATTATCGAAAGACGTTGTTCCGTTTTTATTTTTGGATATGTATCCAATGAAGTCTTCTTGTGCAAACGTATTCAATGATGACAACGGTCCATGATAGTTGTAAAGTTCATAGAAATGCTGATGTAGATGTAAAACAAAATTAGCAAGGTGAGAAAAATATATATGATGATCAGCATAATATTGACAAAGTAAATTGTTTGCTGTGACACTTGTATTAGGACTAAAAACATCGTCTGAATGAAGAAGACGAATACCAATGGTAAATAATGCTATAAAACATAATTGATCACTAGTTAAATACGGCATAAAATGAGGAATAAAACCATAAAGCAGTAGGTTCTTAAGTTCTGCAGCTTTGATAAAAGAAAAATCCTGGATACCTCTCATCTTTCGATTAAAGAAGTGAGGAAAACGTTGTTTTCGTAGAGAAGCATCAATTTTTTCACGTACAGCAGGTGCAAGGGATGAAGCAACGACGCGAACTACATCACGAAAGTGTCTAAGCAGCGAAACATGAGCATAGTCTATGATTATGCTATGTGGTAGAGGGATGTCTACCACCTCTTCCAATATGGATATTCCAAGATGTCCAAATACTTTTTGATTATTCAGTTGAGCTTTCCTTGAATCATTATAAAATGAGTTCACTGTGCGATGAACATTCGTTGAACTGTAATAATATTGTCTTTTACGTGGTTTACGTATATGTACGCCTTTGATATAGCAGAAGTAACATGGATAATATCCATTATGTCCAACCATATTTGCCATAAGTTTAAGAGCAGGTGAATCACCAATACAACCATAGATTTTTATATTAAATATTTGTTGAACAACATCAACTTTAAAAACTAAAAGCAAATAGACAAAAATAATTTAGTGCAAGATTTTTTTAGATATTTCAGCTTTAGAAAAATAAAATCTTTAAAACCTTCTTTTTTTAATTTATTAAGAGTAGCAAAACATGATTTAAGCCATATTTTTGGCTTGGGTTCTGAATAGCCAATATACATCGAGGCTAGGAACATATTTGATCTGCGGTATCGTAAATTTGGTGGTAGTTCGACAATACTAGCATCACAAATCCACAGTTTCAAATTCGTGGATTTGACTAAACCGATGCCATCGAAATGAAGAAGTAAAGTGAGTAAATTCTCAGTTGGATACTGTTTTAATAAGCGTTGATATAGTTTTCCGAAGGGAATATCATATAGTGTGTGTGCTTTGGGATTTAAAATGAGTTTTTTATATTCTTCAATGTTTATTGCAAGTCTTGATACAATTTTTGATAATAATTGATTTATAAAAAACATTCATATATATCGTCGTTTGTATAGAGAACTAGAAATCCAATTATTTTGAAAATCAAGACGATTTTCTCTTTTTCTCTTTTTAACGAAGCATTTTGCAAAATTATGAAGGTGAATTTCCCTAGTTTAACTTTTTTTTGATAAATTTCGTTATCAAAAATTCATGAGTAAAATGTATTAAAATTTAGAAAACATTTGAAAAGTAACTATTGTCTTCATGGTGAAAGAAAATCGAAAAGTTTGTCAAACATCAAACACACCACTATGAACTAAAACGTCTCAAGTAGTCTTGAGCATTGGTGTGTACCAATCAATGAGCACTTAATTTCTACATTTCAATGAATCCTAGCACTTTTCGATTATTGAACCGTCTACTACTCAGTTTCGGTTATAGTTTTTATAATGTAGGTACTAATGCATCTGTCCATTCTTCTGTGTTCTGGTTTTTTAAGGAATTCAGGTTAAAAAAAACTAAATTTGATTCATCAAATAGTTCTCTATGAGTTTTACACATAACGTTATATAATCATTCGTAGCATTATATACTAGAAAATTATAAATTGAGTGACATTGTTTTTCATCGAATATTAAATGTATACTTGCTTTCTATGTGTATGTCAGAGATGTTAGTGGGCCAGGACAATCATTGTCATTGTGGCATTTGAAGACCAAATCACACTTACTGCTCTAATTTTCAGTCTCCTCAGTATATGTATCATAACTCTTCCTAAAATACATGGCAACTAATATGTTATTAAATACAGAGGGTGAAGTATATTAGAAT